GTGACAAAATCTAGGAAAAAGCAAGGGCATTGGCTGGTGACCACGCCGCGACCAGCCCGGACACTGGCATAAAATAGGTTAGCAAAAGGTTAACAATTTTTGGGGGAAATCTGGGAACCTAAAAACAAGAGGAAATGCTAGAAAATTTTTGGAAAAGCATCCAGCCAAAAACGTAACAAAATCTAGACAAAGCCTAGAGCATTCCCAGGAAAATGCTGGAAAAGCCTTCGAAAATCCCACAAATCCAACAGAAAACGTAACAAAATCTAGGAAAAAGCAAGGGCATTGGCCGGGTCCACGCCGCGACCAGCCCGGGATTCGAGCCCGGGACCATTTTGGACCGTGCTTATTTTCCCGCGCGGGTAGAGAGGGTGCCCCAAGATGTAAATCAATTGGGATGGCAGAATCTTGGACAATCCAGGGGACAATCACGTCGCACTTTCGTCACTGCAACAAGGGTCCGGAGGGGTAGGGGAGGTATGGTCTAAGTCTAAGTCTAAGGCTATGGTCTAAGGCTAAGTCTAAGGCTAAGGCTAAGGCTTCGGCTTAAGGATAGGGCTAACATCGACAGTCACGCCTCACCCCACGGTGTGGGGTCGGCGGATATATGGAAAATGTAGATCCTCACTAAACATGTATTGGACGCCGTTTCTATCTATATGGCGATCACTATAGTTCTCAAGTTCTTCACTCACTTGGCAGATTCACTTGATGGCAGTCTCTGAGGCCTGAGGTCCAGTCAGGAGCTTGTCTTTGAGGCCCTGATGGGGAAGACATGAACGACTGAAACATGGCCTTTCTTGAGAAGTGAGTATGAGTTGATGAGGGAAGGTCATGAGTCATGATGGTTATATAATTACTATGATTTAGTGTGGTTCTGTTCGGATCCAAAGGTCAGAAAGCCATATTTGCAGTATGTGTATGTGTGGTCAATGTTCTTGTAGCAGAATTCATCACGTGTTCTTTTTCTCGATCATGGAAGACTATACCGAAGATGTGTCGGTCCACTTGTCCATTTGGCCCGATTCGGTCCCAGAGTGAAGCATATCCGTAAGACCCGTATGACGGATGACATGAAAGACCTGAAGAAATGTAGTTCAACATTAAGACCTGAAGAAAGACCCTGAAGCTCACACCGAAGTTCCACACGCTCCAAGCGCTCCAAGTTCCAGTCCTGGGCAGAGCCTGTCGCTGCGAAGCGATCCACGTCACCGAACCGAACGTCTCGTTCCAGGAACATCCTCGTGCTGCTCCCCAGGCTGTTCAAGGTGTGCCGGCCGAGAGAATCGGATGTGGAGGCGGAGGCGTTTCATACCTGGAAGTGTCACAACACTTGAAGGACTCAGGCAGCAACATCTGTGAATGATAATGAATTGGTTTGTCGGTGTCCCTTCAATCGCCTGTCTTGGGCCACCAGCATTGCTTCAACATCACAGTAGCTTCAACTGGGTGACGCCTTCTAAGACGGACAGTGTAGTTAGGTTTCGAAAGGATTCAATAGATCTTTGCAGATGCAACATGCATTTCACCTTGGATTTTTATGGGGTGCAGCATGGTTCAGCTAGATCTGCAACTTGAGACACCCTGGCCCGGCCATGGATTCTTGGCTCCAACGGAGCACACAAAGAGGTCCAGACAACGCGGGGCCGACGGAGAACGTTGAGGCGGATCCGGGAGTTCTGTGAACTTCTGAGCAGCTGGGCAAGTCGAGGCCTCCAGCCTCCAACCTAATACTAGCGATGGCCTCCAACCTACTAGCAAGGGCCTCGTATCCAGATGTAGGGAGTTGCCATGATTTGCCCAAAACACCTTATATTTGAGCACTTCTAGACGATTGGTAGAAGATGGGTGAACAAGGTGGAAGGACAGTGCAGATGCAACAGATTGCAATAGGTTTCTGACCTGTCAGTCATTGCATGCTGCTTTCGTCCCACCAGGCATTGCAGACACGTTGTGGAAGCTTGCAAGAGGCGCCAGGAAGGCCCAGCGTCGAAGAAAACACCCGAGGCAGGGAACTTGGAACCACCATTGATATTATACTAGGTAGAGCACTAAATAGTATATAAACAATCTAAATACCCCCCAGCAGTATAATTATATATATATATATATCTATTATTTTGTATACAGATACATCTAAGCACAACAGCATTTGCCTTTACTCCCATGATCTCCCATGTGTTACTTTTTCAATGTCAATCCAACACTACCGAGCCCCTGTGTGTTGGTCAAATTGGTTCATCCTTGGATTTGCCTTTTAAGTATGTCGTTGGGGGTGGGTTCCAGGGTGGCGACCCACTAACATACCAACCCATAAAACATAAATCAAAAGCTGACCTCTACATTTACATGCCTCCACAGATCTGTTCAAAACCTGCTCTCGTGTGGATGTATGTGGATACCAGGTGCTATGAGGAAAGTGGATAATCTCCAGGAGTAGATGGCACAACCTGCATTTGGTTTGGTTTTTGCCAACCTCAAACCTCAAAAGTACACGAATGATGAAACGACATACCCTGGATGTTTGCAAAATGTTTGTGGGCTGCTGTACTTGTTTGCAAGTGGAAGAAACGCACCCACATTGAGATCCCACCACCCAGGTTTCGTTGCAAACTGAGGCTGGACAGCTGCCGTTTAGAGGTTCAGGAGGCCAACCCGGGGTTACGGAGAAACTGTGCTTTCCACCCGCCTTCTCAATAAAGGGTCGAACACATGTTGCTACGACAGAATTTGAGAATACATGCTGTGCATCAATATGCCTGCCTATACATCATTGTCCATCTATCTATATGTTTATTTGCGTATCTCTGTTGCTTCCTTTGCCTCCAGGTTCTCGCATACCAAAATTGGGAGCAAAACAGACAAAATATAACTTATTTTAATTTCATTCCACCAACTGTGAAGCTAGCAACGGTTATGAGCACCTTCTGTGGATGAACACAGGACCCCTCATTTGGTCGTCTCGGCGTGGGGCTTTGTTTCAACCCACCGACTATGACTATGGCAGGCTCAGCGGGCGGCGGCCAAGTCTCAAGAAGAACTTGCCTCCTTGGAAGGCGGGGTGCTCAGCGTGTGACGGTCGTCGTTCAGGTAGTTGGATCAAACGGCGCCCCGAGATGTGAATGATCGTGGCCAGATAAATCAGATACATTGACAGATCAGAGTCTCGTTGCCTCTTGTTATGTTCTTGCCATTTTTGCGTGGTGGCAAAGTTTGGAATGCTCACACGAAGCCACAAGATCAAACGGATTTGGCTTCAAATGGATTTGTACAAGGGCCGGCAGGTTTTGGCCTTTATGACTTATGATCCTTTATGTTCTTTTGGGATGTTTCCATATTGTTTCAGCCATACCCAAATGAAACTAGAGTCTACAAGTGCATTCATTAAGCCTTGCCTTCCTTTTTGGTTCAGATTTCTGACTCAACCTACGTGCTGTGCCGCCAGGCCGTGCCGCCAAGAGAGAAGCAGAGCTCAGCAGCTTGGGCTCGTTTTGGCTCGGATGGTACCAACTTGGGATCGTTTTGAGGACCATTCGGAGATATCAATGAACCCCAACGTGTCAAGGGACTGTTGTCAAGGAACATCCGGTGGTTGGACTGTCTTGCATGTTGAAAGTCCGATTTGCCTTGATGAGCTTTTCTGTGTACCTTTGTTCCTCCAACAGAGATGTTTGTACTAACTAACGAACGAACCAACCAACCAACCAACTAACTAACTAACTACAACTATATTAGTACTGTATATGTTTCACCAGTACACATGTGGCTACACATTCCCACACTTATCATGGACACATAAAGGCTGCTTCCTGAGGACTATATTCACCTGTTATTCTCAACCGGTTTCATTCTGTCATGGAGCGTAGAAAGCACCGTTTACTTTCAAGGGATATATCAAGATGATCCCAATAAGAATTGTCTACCCTGTTCAGGGCCACATATCAGAAGCAAAAGGAAACAAGGAGCCGTGAGTATATTTCTTGTGTTCAACATCAATGATTGCTGAGGACAAGAAATCATAGAGCTGAGGCGAGTTGTTTTTCTTTTCCTTGGCGGCCTGAGGTGGAAAAACGTTGGCGTATGTTTGGTATGATGAACATGATCTCTTGTTCAAGACCCATGTGAAAGGATGACATGTCATACACTTTCTGTGTTCCGAGTATCTTCTAGACCTGTATGTTATCTAAGGGCTTTGTGGAACGTGAAAGAAACATGACATCGAAGTCTCAAGTGATCGGTGTTCGAAGTCCCAAGTGATCGGTGTCAAAGAAGGGCAAAGTGTCCGTTGTGGCTGAGCCTTGCGTCCGTCCCGGCGGCGACGGGTCATTGCCTGCATTGAACCATGTAGGTCTCAACAATCAAAGGAGCGGGAGAAGTGGAGATCCGAAAACAAGCGATTGCAGCGACTTGGCTTTTGGAGGTGAGTACAGAGGAGTGCTTTATTTGTTGCACTGATCACTGCTCCCATGTTTTATATACATTGTTTTGCTTTTTCAGCTGCGAGGTTAGCTATCCGGGGGTTGTGTGGAAGCACTTGTGGGGCATGCTAGAGTCTGAGTATAGAAAGAGCATGGGAGAGGTACAACATGCTTGTTGTGTCTACCTCGTCTAGCATTTTTTTTTGCATTTACTGTATGTTGTGCCCTATGTTTCTGCACTTGATCTGGATGTGGCCTCCAAACAAAGTTGGTGTATTGAAGCCAAAGAAACGTCGCTTTGGGTCCGTTTGAGCACCACATCAACGTCTCTATGTGCACGATTCGACCAAGGTCTTCACTTAAGGAGACCCAAAGGCGTGCCAAGGCCAATCAGTTGATCGAGCCACGGTGATGGACCTTTGATGTAGAAGGCCCTGCAGAAGTAGCTCTTCTTCTTGGTCCATGACTAGCGCGGAACGGCTGGACGTTGCAGCTGGAGAATGTTCGTTGTAGAATTATATATGTGGATGAGCCGTGACCCACATGGGTTTTGGGGATGAACCCCCAAGCATCACTCTCCGCAGGCGGCTCAACTCGCAATTCAGTCTCCGTTCGGTCCACGCCATGGCTAGTGTGCCTATCGCAGATTTGTCCAAGGAGGAGCAGGTGCGACCGACCGACCGTCGACCGAGCGTGTTTCCCGCGAGATGTTGGACGACTGGCACATGTCAGGGTCTTCGGTGAAAGCCAGAAATGTAAAATACCGCAGAACTTGGATGATTTCAGATCTAAGTGGACTGAAAGCAGCAGGGGACAGGAGGTGAGGTGACGATCGGGCTGTAAAATGGCTGACTGAAGCGTGTGGGCTGACATGGCTCATAGACAACGGAAGCGTGTGGTATGTCTCCCCCCTGTGCGTGTACGGTTGACCTGGATAGATTGATTTGTTGATCCACCAGGACCATGTGTTCACCCAAGTGTTCACCCACCTGAAGGATGGGAACAATCGATCGATTGATCCTGCAAGTGATAAGTCCATGCCCTTGGAGATCACTTTGTACCACAGATGGACATCTAGACAAAGCTGATAAACATCCCTTGGTTGTGGAAAGTCTCCGCACGTTCCCCAATGGTTGAAAACCCGGGATCTACCAGTCTTCCTTTGCAGGATGAGCTCCTTTGTACTTACGCCGCACTGGTTCTGCATGATGATGGTGCAGCAACTCGACGAGGGATCACCATGTATCACCATGTATTTGGGTGGAGAGAGGCAGAAATGAGCACCGTGTACCAGAAAGTGCAGAAAGTCGTTGCTTCTTGAGCCCAAAGAGAACACTTTGCTGGAAGCACAATTAAAACAAGGCTGGGGCAGATGATATCCATCCGCCAAATGGATTCCACCAGTCTGGGGCCTTCCAGTTCGCAGCTTCCGCATGCCAAGGAGATCACTCCGCAGAACATGACCAATCTCATCAAGGCCCGGACAGCGACCGACACGAAACCCGGCCGCATCGAAGGAGGACCGACACCTGCAACGGGACCCGCCAGCAGGACCGAAAGACCTCTTCGCTGCGAAGGGGGTAAGGGGATCAGGTGGGGAGGTGTGGTGGGAGCATCCAAATGGGGAAGAAGTATGATTAGGAGGGGATAGTAGTGATAGTGATAGATACTTATTATACTATTTTATACTGCTTGTAACATGTACTTATTCACACTTGCATAGAGCTTGCGGTTGCAAGTTTTTATGTTCACAAAAATTCACTAAAATGTCCCCCCCGGGACATTTTGGCTCAAGGTGGGAGGCAACACTGTTGCCTACAGGTCTTTGAAAAGCTCACACCCATAGGTCTTCTTTCAGTGAACATCGCTATGGCGCACCCTATAGAGTCAGAGTACGTGATGCTTGAGACTTTCACTGAGGCCCAGCCTGGAGCGGCTGTGGACCCAACTTTGGACGCTGAGGTGGCTACTGTGGATAGCCCATGATAGCCCAAATTTTGCGCAGCGTGATGAGGAGGCGGATGCGGCCTCCCAGGCTCTTCGCCATGCCCAGGATGAGGCAGCTCGTGGCCTTGCCGTCTTCGGGACTCCAGTCCTCGTGCAAGAACTGGACCAGCAGGCCCAAATCAGCGGACAAGGGCACCGACGTGCCCATGGCAAGCGCGGCTACTCCGGCTGAGGCCCCCTCGGCACGTGGTCCCTCTGGCCCACCTGTCGGTGGGTCTCCGGCCCCTGCGGCAGCTGCTGCTGATGCGCCTGTCTCTGCTGATACTTTGATGGCAGCCCCCGGTGGAGTGACCGATCTTTGTGGAACCCCGGCCGCCGGCAGCTCCTTCCTTCGCGGTGCCCTCCATGGACATGGAAGCTGCATCTCATCCAGGCTTAGGTATTGTGCCCCCCCCACACACGTGGGGTATGGGGCGGAGCCTCAAAGGCGCCAACCCTCCCTGGCTTCCCCACCACGGGACAGGACGAAGCATCCGTCCCTTTGCCAATTCGCTTCACTCCGGTGGCTGATCCGCCCAACCACGTGAAGTTTGAGGGAGGCCCCCGCCTGGCAGTGGCCACACCGAGAATGCCAATGGATCCTTCTGAAAGCTGATGTCATGGCTAGCGGCTCTGCTGTTGCGCATCCTCTACTACCTGTTCTCGCAGGTGGAGTGGGGCTTTGTCTTTGTGGATGACTTCTGCTGGCTCCTCCGCCTCTTCGCGGGTACATCCTTCACCGTGGCCCTTTTTGGGTACCCTTATTGCTGGGTACACCACTGAGCTGGAAGAAGACTCACCTGGCGGAGATCAACGCCTGGCTAGGCTTTGTCATCCACCCATCTATCTTGAGGGTCCAGATGGCTGCGCCCCAAACACATCAAGGCCCTTCTGGGCCTGGAAGATGGCAGTTCAAACAATGGGACATCCTCCCAAGGTTGTCCGGACGCTGGCCTGCTTGACGAAGGACCTCTTCACCATGCCGAATGAGCAGTACTCCCCTTGCCTCCCGAAGTCTGCTTGGTGAGTTTGCAGTGATGCCAGTGCCTCGGCCTTGGGGGATGGCGCACGGACATCTCCCAAACAAGCAAAGATGTGGCCCACTGGTTCCACTACGTGATTGAGCCACATCAGCACCCTGGGCATTCAAGGATGGCAACCCACAGAAACGCATTGCAGCCTTGGAGCTGTTGGGCACACTGCTGCTCTGCAAACACCTGATCTCCCAGCAAGGGGCGAGCCCAGGCAGAATCCGATTGCCTGTTGGTAGTGACAACTCCGGCAACATCTTCAGCCTCTTGAACCTCTCCTCCAAGAAGCCGCATACTGCTGCCCTCCTTATGGAGCTGGTACTGACATTGCACCGTGAAGGATGTAGCCTAGCTCCTAACCACATTCCCCGGGAAATTAACACCTGGGCAGATGAGCTCACTCATCCAGACTTTCAAGGCTTTACCCCGGACCGCCGGCTACTGGCTCCGGCGGACTTATTTTCCTTTTCTCTAGCACCTCGACTTCTGTCGAGCACTGGTTTCCCCTAGCTTCCCACCCAAGATCCCGTGACCGGATCCGGTGGGAGTCCTCCTGACCCCTCCGTCTCTGGGCTCCCGGCCACACGCTGTGTGGGGGAGACCCAGAGGGTGTGTCAGGCCTTGGTGGGTGATTGAACTGCCTGCCACACCTTTGTGAGCAGATTGCTCACTGGTCTTTGACAGACTGAAACGGGGTCTGAGGAGGACCCTTGCACAACCCAAAGCCTTCTGACAAAAGCCAGCTTGCTCTTTTGTGCTCTTGGGATGTTTTTGATTTTTGGGTGCACGAATTTATATTTAGACTTTGTATTTTTCATACAGTCTACTCATCATTTCTTCGTGCGTGGTACTGTACAGGGGGGGTGATACCAGTTGGACAGGGGTTGATCTCCAATCCAAGATGTTTCTTCTATCTTTCCAGAGAACAATGTTGGAGACCCAAGGTCTGAACCCTAGGCCTTTTGAGTCCTTTTTGAGTCTAGCCCTTGCTGATGCGCACACAGATATGTAGATCGATCTGTAGCAATGAGAGGTCGAGTCTCCAGACTTTGGGCCCAGGGTGGGGTCATCAAAACAAACGAGAACACTTTCCATTGCATGGACCATGAGACATTGAGTCATTGTTCGATCTTGTGTATCGACATGACAAACCTTCATGTTCTTAGTCCGTGGAGAGGCGGCTGGCTGCAATGTGGAAGGATACTGGCCACTGCTCATGTCCAAGATGATCAGCAACGCACCTCAGATGCATCAGATGGTCGGACTACGAAGGAGTAGGGGATGATGCCTGCAACAAACCTACAGCAGAAACAGTACGATGTTCTTTGGATATTCTGGATATTGTTTCGGAGTACCGGGTCCAGTCCCCTCTACTTGGAGTCCCCCAAAACCAGGTGTCCAGCACCGTCCTCACCAGCTCAGCTCGCTCTTTCGTTCGTGGTCAGACCGCGGAGTCTCATCAACTTCCCGGTGCCCAACACGAGTGACCGCTGGTGCCTATGTTGAGCTCCGGAAACGCATGAGGTATGGTTTTCTTGAGGACTATGTTTATGCCATACCAAATGCGAAGTATAGGGAACAATTGAAACCCAACCTCCGGAGATTTGGGGCAAACATATGAGAAACGGCGGTAGAAGATTGCCAGTCCTGGTGGCAATGAAGGACACCACAAGCGGCCAGACTCAAAGAAATGGATTGTAGAAAACAGGACTGCATGTTGTGTTTGATCGACAAAAACTAGCAGACACTCTCCGCGAATTTATCATGTTGCAATGGTGTCGGTGCAAAATCTGTAGCGATGGCCTTAAAATCAAGCACCTCAGCGCTGCACAACCGCAGATATCAACGGATATACACGTGACCTGTGTTTATGTGTTCACTTTCCATGTTATTCCAAGGTGTTGGAAGCCTTTCCAGCGCTGCACTGACCTGGTGGTTTCCATCCAAGGTCGGCATGGACACCCTCATCAAGCTGGGTAGTGGTGCGGGCGGTGGCGGTGGTGGTGGCGGCGGCGGCGGCGCAGCTGCTGGCGGCGGTGGCGGCGGAGGAGGTGGCGGAGATGCGGCCACCGAAGAGAAGAAGAAGGCCCAGAGGGGCCCAGTCATTGTTGCGTCTTCTCGATATGAATGGAGGGTTTCGTTCTGAGTGTGTTCTGCAGCGTGTTTCAGAGAGACTTCCAGTGCACATGCGTGGGTCGAAACATGGTGTTCGTCTACGTAAGCCAGGTGTGTTGAGGCATCTGATTGAAACCAACCCTATCATTGATTCCCCTTGTACATCTTGTACCCATCAAGTCATTTCACCCGCTTTGGCTTGACCAAAAACATCTCTCAAAAACACAAAAGTTCCCACGTCCCGTGAATCGGCGCCGTGAGGTCGAGGAAGAGGAAGAGGAGGACCGTGACACCAGCCTTGACTCGTGTGCGACTCTGATCTCCGTTTCGTTGGTGCCGGCGAGCGTACCCTTAGACGGTGATACGTCAGACGGTGGAAGAAAACCACCTGGGAGCCAGAGGAACCTGTGGTTTTTGTAGGGGCCGAGTTTCTTCGGCTAGCTTTTCCATGCCTTTCCAACCCACCTGACCAAACAGCTTCACCCAAATGGCCTTCCGGGTCGGGCCTGGGATTGACATGAGCAATCAGATAAAACGGGCGATGTTTGGAATGACATTAATTAGTATGGGCTGACGCCCCTCAGGGATTGGATGCTTGGGTGCTTTTGCTGAGGCTTGTCACTTGAGCAAATCTTCAAGAGAAGCCTGTGTTAGTTCTTGCTAGAGATATTTTTTATGACAAGGATCAAACACTGTGTTTCAGGGAACCACTTTTCACTTTTGAAGCTTACTGTGGAAACCATGGCTCCCACGGCACGGGGAGGTTCAGTTGATGGTATTGGATTCTCTAGATGGCCATCCTTGCCAGGAAACTTAACTCCTCCAATCTTAGTTGGGTCATATGATGTTCTTTCCAGTGTGAGGTACCAGCTGTTTCCTTGGGAGAATGAAGCTATTTGGCCAAGACGCGTTTGCGGATCAGGGTGCTTCCCTCGCTTCCAATGACATATCGCCCAATATATAGTCGGTTTGACCTACTTGGCTGGAGGGTGATTTGAGTTGCTTTGCTGGCCAGGAAGACATGGAATTCGATCTCTTTGGTTGAGCCCGCCGCAGCCAAGCCCACAGCCGTGCGAGACAAATGGCGCCGAATGTGTGAGTTCTTTGTAGAGCATGCCACAGCCGACAGTTTGTACATACTAAGTATACTAGTAGGCAGGTCCAAAGAAACACCAGCCCTGGGCTTCCTCATTTGTTGATCTGGTCCGGATACACTGGCGTTTGATGTTGAAATTGGCAAAACAATACAACCTTTGAAACATCAACAGACAAAGTGGGGGTCAATATTGAGTTGGTTGTTTTGGACACTAGCAAAGTGATTTCATCTAAACAGTTGAGGCCTCCCACACCCCGCGCCCTGGCAGGCAGAGAGCGAAGCCAAGTCGGCTGCAGTCGACCAGGTGCGGAACAGATCATCAGCCCAGTGCTGTTTGGCCAAAGCTGGATGACATGCCCAAGCTCTTGAGGAGCTTTGACTTTGCCCAAGGAGCCTGAAACTCAATTTATGCCTGTAAGGTTGGTGCGGAACATATCAGGACATAACGGCTATACTGCCCACATAATACATCATAATTACAACATAATACTCATACATATCATATTTTTGTTTGCTTTTCTCCACCTCACCAGCTGTGCTTGCCGGGTGTCCCAGAAACCTTGGCGCGACCGGGCGTCCAGGTGGAGGTCCTGCGCCAGCAGCTTGCGAGGCTTGGCAGTAGCACCACTGATGCCTAGCTAGGCTAGGAAAAGTGGATAACCTGCAGGTCACCTAGTTGGGTTGGGGATGCCCAACTCAAATCCAACAGGTGAAAAATTTGGTTACCCGGTCAGTAATTTCCAGTACAACTGATGGAGTCAGGATGTATACTCATATGTGCAACTGAGTGGATTCCACATAGAAAGGTACTTGCGTTACTTACTCATGAGAATGGTACCTTCTGTGTCGCCAGAAGCTGCAAATAACTCTGGCTCCATGACTAGAGGTCTCATGATGCTGGAGCGATGACATGGAGAGTCTCCATGTGGAACTGAATCACAGTTGGCCACAGGGGGGGCCTTTGATACATGAGTTGGCAGGTGGAGGACGGGTGGGGTCAATGGTTGGATGCTACGCATGATGTCCCATGACAATATGACTCTGGGTCAACACCAGGAGACCTTCGTTGACCTACCTGGAAGGTCAAGCTACATGGTGTTGGGGCTCCAGGTTTTGACCCACCGCCATATATGAGCAACCGCTTTTATTTAGGCTTTACTAAAGTAGTCTACGGCATGCTCTATTTGCTTGTTGACGCTAAAGTAGTTTGAACGAGATAGTGTGATTTGCTACTAACGTAGTTTGAACGAGATACTGTGACATGACCTCCTACTTTAGTAGTCTAAACGAGATAGGCCCCCCCACATAATAGATAGTGTTTTTGAGTTTAGTGCCAAGAAAATGTCGCCGCACATATATATATATATATGTTATGATAATCAAAGTTCATCAATTTGCCAGATCCACAGCCACATCACAGAGGTCAGAGGGCAAGCGCTCCAGAGACGAGAAGGAGGCAGCTTGACAAAGCGCATGCTATTTAAAGGTGTTCTATCATCAGTTTGGCCGGACAAAAACAACATGTTCGGCTCTTCCTGCATTGTCAGAGGTGTATCCAGAACCGCACTATGGTGTCAAGTTCTGAAGGCTGCTTCTGTCAGGCCAAACATACATTAAAACAAACGTGTCAAAACGTGTAGTAACAAGGGGCATCGCTACTAGTAGCTCCTGGCCTTACTACTAGTAACAAGAAGCTACTAGAAACAAAGGGCATTGCCAATTCTCACCTCTCGACATTGGTAGTTCCGCAGATGGCAGGCCAAAGCGCTGGAGCAGATGACCCAGCAACTTGCCCGCGAGTCACATCATGGACCAGGACGAAACCACCTGTGTTGTTGTCGTTTCTTGGAAAGCCTGCTGACATCCATGATGACACAGTTGTCCCCTGATGACATCTCATGCAACATCCATCAAAGTCCGGCAGGGGGAAGTAGACTTGAATTACATGGGTTTTCAATGATTCCCGCATTGGTGCTCAGAATTCAATGGTAGGAGCTTGGCCTCCCTGTGTTGCCCCTAAAATAGAGACGGCTAGCCAACCCTTAGACCATGGAATGGGAACGATCGGGGATTCCTGTGGGTTTGACCAGGCTCCGGTGGTGGTCCATGTTTTCAAAGCACACGAGTCAAGCGCTGCGAGCTGTGAGAACAGCACGGGCCCAGGCGTCATCAAGAGTTCTTGAGGCGGGAGATCGAGAAGACCCTGAAGCCGGCAGATATTTGGAGACCTCTATAATATAAGTGATTGTGGATCATAAGCCTATGAAGCCAACCCAGGAAGACAGCTCGGCTCATTTTTCGACCCACAGCATGTTGTGACTGGAAAAAGGTGACAGGATATTTTTTTCGTTGTAGTTCTGCGATATTGTGGGTCCTGTGACAGGAGATGTTGACGTGTATGCTCGAGTGCTTTGCACCATCGTGTTTACATTGCAAATACGTATGGAGGGTCTTTTTTTTCGTTGTTTTCCTTATTGTGTTTATTTTTTTTTTCGGATTCTGCTTTTGCTGCGTTTCTGCTTTTGCTGTGTTTTTTGCTTTTGTTGCTTTTCTGCTTTTGCTTTTCTGCTTCTGCTGCTTTTGTTGCTTTTCTGCTTTTGCTGCTTTTCTGCTTCTGCTGCTTTTCTGCTTTTTGTGTTTTTTGTCTTTCTGCTCTTTGCTTTTGTTGCTTTTCTGCTTTGGCAGCTGTTCTCCTTTCTCTTTTTGTTTTCCATCTGTTTGCTTTCTAACCTTTGGATCTGGTGTGCTGCTGGGGGGGGACGCTGCGCCCCCTGCAACCACCCCCCGCTCCACGAAATCTGCACTTCATCTCCGACACCCGCGCCTGCCACGAAATCAATATTTTAAGGTGAACTCCCCGGGGCATAAACTTCTAACCAATCATATATGCCTCCTGTGCTGGTTCTCTTTCTCTTTACTGTTTCTCTGCTAACGTAGGAATTTCTCTGACACCTACACTATTCCAATGTATTTTGCCAGCTACGACAGCTCCCAAATTAGTCTTATAATGTATTTGGCCAGCTACGACACCTGTGTCTCGGCTAAGGACACAAAATTGCTGTAATAAGAAACCTGCTCTATTCCAATGTTTTTGAAAAACAATCCCGAAACAAATGAACAAATACCAAACTAAACGTGCACCCAATACGTATTAGACCAGCAGCTCTATGTAGACCAGATGGGGCCGCACATATCAAGTGGATCCCAAGATTCAGATACTGTACTTACTGTAGCCAATTCAGTCTTCATTGTAACGTTGTACCATTTACTTCCACCTTTTCTATCCTTTTCTTAGAAGTCTTTGGGAGAGTCGCAGCCTGTCTCAGGTGGGTGGCCTTGCGGTGTTTGGAAGCCTTCGGTGAGGCGTGGCCCTGCAAATCCACTGGGTGGACCCAGAGCTGCTGCTCTCGGTGAGGAGATTGTTCCAAAGGAAAGAAAGAGATATGCTCCCTGGAATCATCATGGAAGTAAACAATCCCCTGTTTGTAGATAAGTTTTATTTAAGGAGTCATGCCATCCACGAAACCATGATAATTCCAGGGAATGTATGTAGGTGTAGGAGTTTTGCAGCAAGAAGTCCATCAAGAAGCCGATTTGTCAGGATTCATCCTGGAACCTTTGGCAGAAAACTGTTTCGCACACTAGTAATGACAAATTACGACGAAGTAGATCAACCCTGATGGACCACCCCAAACCTCAGAAGGCGACAAACTACAGTATGTCACGTCAATTTAGCAATGCAAGTATGCGCGCATCTTGGCCATGCAACTGTCGAACCATTCCGGACACAGCAAAATACCGTGGGACAGTGACCGACACACGCTCAACAAGGCAAACAGTCGGCAGATCCTTTGCTCGCGTGATGTTTTTCCGCGCCAAGCAGTTTTCGGGATCGAAACACAATATAATCCTGGAGGGATTCAGAATCCTTGCTCAACCACTTCCAATGTTTTTTTTTTCAGAATCTTCAACCACTTCCCCAAGATTAATTCCAGAACCTTGGTCAACCGGACAGGCGCAGACGGAGGACTTCACAGAGGTGAGACGAGTCGGGGGGGAACCCCGGACCCTGGCGGATCTGGGGAGCCTGGCGGATGGCAGAAACAGTTTGGGTGACAGGAGCTGGGGACCTTGAAGAAGCCTCACACGGGAGCTTGATGAAATGAGCGAGCCGAGAAGAGCCATGTGGAAGTGACCTGTTGCGAGAGAAGCCCTGGGAGAAGCGGTTTGCATGCGTGTTTCAAGCAAGAAAGGATTCGGAATCTTCAAGGTGTTGTCTTTTGGGAACCACATATTGGTGCAATGAAAGATTCATTTGGGAGATCCTCAAGCCATCAAGGCCAAGAATATTGAAAACGTGTTTGCATAATTATGTTTGTGTGGTTTGCCCAAAGGGTTTCACCTTCACTTCACTTGAAACACCGCTTTGAAATGAAAAAAGAAACGCAAGACTCAAGACCCTCTGCAGCCGTCTCAGCTTGGCCTAATGATTTCCAGACAAAGACCCGGCGCGTCCGACCGGTACTGCCGACCTCAGGAGACCTGTCGCGAGCTGCTCTCCAAGCTTATCCAGCGCGCGAAGCGAGGCGAGACCGGCGAAACGGGACCATGGGTGGGTCCTGAAAAGCATGCCGTTGGGTGGCCAAACACCAGCTTTGAGAGTATCCATCAAAATCAATCAAAACAACATGCTAAAGGCTCAAACGTTGATGACCACGAACAGATCCTGTTCGCAATGCCCTTGGCCTGCTTGATCGATATACGAACAGTGCCTTGAATTCCCATTGCATTGTGACGTTGCCTCCCGCCACCCCATGTGATAGATTCTCGATAGATCATGGATATGCTGCAAATGAGACTCTTGAAGTAATGCGGTTCAACAACGACCGTGACATACCGAATAAGTCTTGGAACTATACCGATACCTGATGCCCTTATAAATTGGTTGTGTGTTAGGCATGTTGATGCCACAGAAGGTGCAGACC